TAATCTTTTTTCTGAATAATTCACAAATGACTTTGTAGGATAGTCAATTGAATTTATTAATTTAATCATTTTATTTTTTATTAATATTTATATAAGATTTTTGCATTAAACATTCAGCAAGCATGACTAGCTACCGTGATACACAGTTACTCATAGCGTTTGGTCATCCCACCCACCCTAACTCAGACTCACAGCACCATGTTCTTTCTCACATTGGATTGTTCTGTTCTTAAGTGTCATTTCTGTCTGCAGCAGTGCAGTATGGTCTATCTGTCAATCTACTCAGCGCCTTCACTCACAGGAGTCCTCTGAGGACCGGTCCTGTGATTCTGCTCGAAAATCACTTCAAATCATCCAATAGACTCAAAGCGACACAGCATATGCCTCATCTTTTATTGATGGCATTCATCCCAGACCTCTTAGAGGGGAAAGTCACCCTGCAGCCCCCTTGACACACAATGACCGAAATATGAGAGTTCATTGAGCCGCAGTGCCAGGCTGAGTGAAATTATAATACTAAGACTAAAGAGCGGCCAGTGGTGCTTTCTTCATCCAACACCGCCCCAGATACTCCTAGAAAATCCTGCATGTGCCAAATGATTCAGGTTCAGTCAATGTGAAGGACAGTAAGGAGCATTTGTGGCATAATTATTTGTTGCATAATCCTTTAGTTCATAAAACAGCATTAATGCACTTATGGAAGAGCACAAAAGGATGCACAGATACTCAAATTCTGGCTGATAAAAATCAGTCAATAATTATCATATCATGACCAATAATCAATTAATGGCGCCATGGGCAGGTATGAGATTCTGACGGTATGATAACCTTAGATAAAAAAAATATCACGGTTTCACGGTATTGCGATTACAGATCTAAAATGTGTTATTTTTAAATGTCTGGGTAAAAAAAACTACTTTTTTCCCCACTGAACACATTTTATTTTTAAGAAACATATAGAACATTTTGGAACAGTAAACATGTCAAGCTAAATAATTAGAATAAATAATTAAATTCTTCTTAATTAAATGCAGTCACTTCAGTGAGCCTAAACCTGCAGCTCAATAATCAGAACATAAATTATTTTCTGTAAAAAAAAAAAAAAAAAAAATCCCTATAAATGAAAAAATGCAGTCACTTAAGTGAGCCTAAACCTGCAGCTCAATAATCAAAAATATAATCAAAACATAATTTCTGTAAGAAAAAAAAAAAAGAAAAAAATTTAATAAAAAGTGCAGTCATTAAACCTGCAGCTCAACAAGGTTTTTGGAGACATGCTCGCTTTCTACACATTCATCTTTCAGTCCAAGCTATGATGCAGGAATGTTCACCTTTCCCGGATTAAGTTTGGAGCTATGGTTTGGAGCGGTGAGTTACGAGGATGTGTACATATTAGGGGTGCAACGGTTCTCGGTAAAAAATTGAACCGTACCGTTCTCCACACATGGTTCGGCATGCACTAGAACCGCGGTTCAACTAAAATCTGACAATGCATCTGTAATATGGTTTGTTAGAGTTCGGCTAAAGCATTTTTCTGTTGATGGATACAAATTCTGGCTTCCCAATACATTACAACAAGAGCGATGAGAGAAAAAAACAATGTGGACAAACCAGTCACTCTTTGTTCAATGCGAGTGCTGTATGTTGGAATAACTGTCATTTATGCCGTCATCACGTGTTGATAGCGCAGGTGAGACCTGAACAGCACACGTTGCTATCGGTTTGAACTAAACTCATTTAAGCCTTGCCAGTTTAAATATTAAAGAGCCAGAAGACGTGAACTCGCGCGCGCAGTGAGAAGATCTGTGTGGTCGCTCATCCGATGCGCGTGAACCCGCATCTCAGAACGCGTGCAAATATTAAGCTCTCTGTGAAGTATTGTGTTTGAATGGACAAATTCACACTAATTAGCCATGTTATCTGCCTCGGTAGCAAGCCAAATAGTATTTATTTCAACACTGAAACAAACGGCGGGTGGGTCTCTGTCTTGATCGGGGGTGAAAGAGGGAGAAAACCGAAGATGACACAGATATATAGTTTATGTTCAACCTGGAAGTATTTATTTAGCGATTGGCGCTAAAACGTCATCTGAACGGAACATCGTTGTGTACGGAACATGGTTAGTCTACGTTACCCGAAAAATTCCCATACTACAGACTTCGTCTTTTTCGACGGGGGAAAAAGTTCCAGGGATTCATCACCTTCGGCCATCCAGGTGACTCTGACCGCTCGCACCGACCGGAGGGGGAGGGGTCGTGTGACTCGTTACGCTCTTCGCTGCACACAACTGAGGGAGTCCTGCACTTTCCGTCTTTGACGACACGTAAAAAAAACTGCGCATACCGCAGGAACGGTATAACGGGAAAATTTTGTGGTTTTGAAACCGTGACTTTTCCAAACCGCGGTATACCTTGAAACCGGTTATCGTCCCATGCCTAAATGGCGCATATTGAAATTCTATAAATAAACACATTTATAAATGTAAATAAATTGAAAATACAACATTGAAAATAAATTGTTTTAGATGCTACAAGTGAATTAATGCATTCCAACTTTAGTATGAAAAAAATCTATTCAATATTATTTTTATATTTGCTAAAGATTAAATGTAACTTTAAATTATTAATGTAACTAAGTTTTTTAATTAAACTGTATTTTTAAAGATTTGCTTTAAGTGAGCATCAGATGATGGCTATAGTAATCTAAATATAAAAGTGGGAGAAATTAGCATGCACGATTAAATATTGGGCAATATATGTAAAATATAGACTGATAATGATGTATTTTAAAAACAATCTTTCATGTTAAATGATAACCAATAACCCATTATCTGATGGCCTATAATAAATTAATGGCCCTTATTAAAATTCTATTAATAAATACATTTATAAATGTAAATACATTAAAAATAAAAACATTGAAAATGAATTGTTTAGATGCTACAAGTGAATTTATGGATGAATATAATTTTTTACATTTGCTAAAGATTACATTTAAAAGCTTAACTGAATTATTATTGTAACTACATTTTAATATTAAACTATTTTTACTTTAAGAGAGCATTAGAAAGTAATCTAAATATAAAAGTAGGAGAAATTAACATGCACAGTTAAATATTTGGCAATATATGTAATATATATATATATATATATATATATATATTTCATATTAGCTGATAACCAATATCATTTAGATATATCATGCATCCTGAGAAAATACACAGTTTCAAAAGTAGATATAAGATTTTATACATGTTAACATGAGAATAGTGTGAGTTAATCAATGAAAATGTGTAAAGTTTTATCCAATCTTGTAATTTTAACATCAAAAGCACATAGTGCAAACTTGAAGAATTACACCAATAATTGATAGAACATCAACTTAGAAAACTGTCCGACTTCATAAAGATAATTTACAAGTTTACAGCTCCAATAATAAACAGGCTGTCACTGAATAATTCACTACTGCTTTATATACTTGGATATACTTGGATACAACTGCCTGATTGCTTGTATTGTTGCAAAATGTAAACAATAATATACAGTATATTATAAGATTTTATAAACATTAATACAACAACAAACAAACAAACAAACAAACACAAGCTTCCAGATTTCTGCTTTTACAATGGAAGTGTTGCTCCATTGACTTATATTGTCTATACTACTTCAATGTAACCACAAATTTTGCCTTAAAAAAACCACCCCAAAATGAGTCAAAATGATTTTCTGTGATAATCGCATCATGCCACAGATGCTGAACTTGCATTGAGTGAGAAACAGTCCTCAGATCTCAAGCAAAGCAACTACACTCAATAATGTGCCTCCATTTTTGAACAGTCAGTCTCTGATCGATAGACTGACCTCAGAGCCGTTCAACCACATGTTGAAGCATTCATCAAGCAATAACTGCACATTGTTTCAGAAAGAACTGAGAATCGACTACAACTATGACCCTGTAAGCAACGATTGGATTGTTGATCCAACGGCCACAGTAATCGATTTCCATTTCGAGGAGCCGCCGTCTCGCAGTGACACTGGGCTTAATGAGACACATCCAGACAAACCGGGGCGCTGGAGGCCACACTCTTCATTAACACCTCTCAAAGCAGGGTTTCTTAAAGGGATAGTTCACCAAAAATGAAAAAGTACTCACCCTCAGGTCACCCAAGATGAAGATGAGTTTGTTTCTTCATCAGAACAGATTTGGAGAAATGTATCGTTATATCACTTGCTCGCCAATGGATCCTCTGCAGTGAATGGGTGCCGTCAGAATGAGAGTCCAAACAGCTGATAAAAACATCACAATAATCTACAAGTAATTCACAAAATTCCATAAGTGAAAAGCTGCATGTTTGTAAGACTCACTTCACTTCAAACCATTGCTTATGGCTAAAATACGAGTCCATAATCCATAATAATGTTTTCTCCAGTGAAAAAGTCATCTCTTCTGAATCAGGAGAGAAATATGCACAGATCAAGCACCGTTTACAAGCCAGAATGGTTCAAAACAAATATGTAGGTGGATTTTGATGTGAGAGGATAACAGGAGATGGACTTTTTCACTGGATTAACCAATACTATGGATTATGGAGTCTTTTAGCCAGAAGCAATGGTTTAAAGTTAAATGGATTGGTTTCTTACAAACAAAAAGTTTTTGGCTTCTCCAGATGTTAATTAATGGTCTGGAGTGGTGTGGATCACTTGTGGATTATTGTAATGTTTTTATTTTATCAGCTGTTTGGACTCTCATTCTGACGGCACCCATTCACTGCAGAGCATCCATTGCTGAGACACTGATGTAATGCTACATTTCTCCAAATCTGATGAAGAAACAAACTCATATACATCTTGGATGGCCTGAGGGTGAGTACATTTTCAGCAAATTTTTATTTTTGGGTGAACTGTTCCTTTAATTTATTTATATATTTCGGTACTCTTAAGCGAGGCCTTCTGACAGTATTCAATCTTAATATTTGGCCAATATAAGGAGGTACTCACGGCTGGCAGAGCTTGACCAGGTCATGGTCGGTGGTGGTTGGTGGTAAACCACGGATGTAGAGGTTCGTTTTACTGAGCTGCTCCCAGCCGGCTGTGCTGCTGCTGCTGCTGTGATTGGTGCTGCTGTTGGTTCCAGGACTGGGCGGAGCCATCGGGTGGGAGGCGGGGCCAACAGGAGGCTGGAGGGAAGGACACAGAACAAACTGCGGTCAGAGTGGAACAAGGTCAAAGCAAACAGGGAAGCAAAAAGTAAACATTGGTAAAAGAAGCCATAAGTAAGTATACTGGACAGAAAAAAACAGACTACTAATCCAGAAAGCAGATGACTCTTCACCAGTAACAGTGGGACGTTTGACCAAGATCCATCATGAGCAATTTTACATCACAGTATATTAAATATATAAATCACAATATATGTATTTGCTCAAAATTAAATGAAAATACATGCCTCAATTTATTAAACATTTCCTTAAATTTTAAACAGATCGCAATATAACCTAAATCACAACGTACAGTATATGCTTTGCTTGAAATTCAATGAAAAACATGCCTCATTTTAATATTTTCTCAAATATTATGAAAATCCAATACAAAATAACAAAATATGTAAAATAGCTGAAATGCATAACAATTGAAATGCATGCAAAATACATGTTTTTTTAATTGAAATCCAATTTGAAAATATGCCTAATTTTAATAAACATTTCCCAAACTTTTGCAGAAAATCAAATCCAAAATAAAATGTTTTTTTCAACAGCTGAAATATGTATGTTAAAATACTTCATCATAGGGCTGTACAATTAATCGAAGTTCTAATCGTGATTACAATTATGGATGCCACAATTACGTAATCGTTCAAAGCGGCAATTAATCGTTTAAAGTCCACTTATGTTATTCTGTATGCATAAGATGTGTTTTTTTCGTTCTCCATGTTATCGTAAGAGTTTTCCCATTGTTTTAATTTTAGTTTTAATATAACATTATAATACCATGCATATTTTTCATTTTTTTATTATTTAAAGAAGAAGCCAAACCAATGTATATATGACATTTGAGGCTTAGTACTATAGAAAAGCAATAAAAGTTTTTCAGTTAGAGTGTTTTCAGCTTGTTTAAATTGTGATAATCGTAATTAATAATCACAATTACAATTTCAAGGGAGTAATCAACAGTTATGATTTTTTTCATAATTGTGCAGCCCTACTTCATCAGTAATTTTACATCACAATGAATTAAAGATATATAATCACAATATATGTTTGCTTAAAATATGCCTCATTTTAATAAACAGTTTCCTACATATTGAACAGAATCAAACGCAAGACAATGAAATGTGTAAAATAGCTGAAATGTGTAATTATTTGATGTTAAAATACTTAGTCATTTTAAATTACAGTAAATTAAATGCATATAATCACAATGTGTTTTGCTCGAAATTCTATTAAACAAACTTTTTTTTTTTTACAAAACATTAATCACAATAAATGTGTTTTGACTTAAATTCAAATGACAAACGTGCCTCAATCTAACAAATATTTCCCAAATTATGAACAGATCATAATATAAATCACAACATACATGTTTTTCTTAAAATTCAGTTTTAAAAATATCTCCCCAAATTTTGCAGAAAATCAAACACAAAATGTATAAAACAGCTTAAATGTGTTTAAAATACTTTCTCAGTAAATACTTCTTAATTTTAATAAACAATTTCCTACATTTTGAACAGAATCAAATACAAAATGTGTAAAATAGCTCAAATGTGTTTTAGTCATCATTACTGAAAACCACACGATTCCCAAAACATAATTTCACACCCATGAGCCCAGCTGCATAACAAGAGACACATTTACATTTGCTAGTGAACCGCTGAGACTCTGGTGACACACCTTGTGAAACTGGGATTGTCCCAGGTAAACCGGGACGTCTGGTCACCCTATTATGAGACGAGATTATGAGTTATCAGATGAACAAGAGTGCCAAACCTTCTTCTTAAACCGTTTCTGCACATTTTAATGCAAACTCAGTGTAGAAATGTAAAAATGTTAGCAGTCTAGGCCAATTAACAACCCTAACAAAGAGCAACTCCAAATCTAATCAGCAAGAACAAACACCAAACATCAGCTTTATCTGAGGACTTATGCAGAAAATAGAATAATGTGAGCAAAACAGGAAAGCAGAGTGGTAACTTTGGCAAGGGAAGATATCTTATGCACACATTTTGTAAAGATTGCAAAACATGTCAAATATAAAATATGTCTGTTCTGACCCACCAACAGAGTACGTTTCGTTTTGCATATGCTTTTCAATAACCATAATTATTAATAATTAATTTTATGAATAACACCCTTTGCGTTTCAGTTTTTGGCCGAATGAAAATGGCAATTTTGGTTCTGGTAAAAAAATTATTTCAATGCATCATTACAAATAAGTGTTGCTTTTACAAATTCTACAACCCTTCAAAAAATCTGCAAAAACAAACACCATGCACAAGCTTTATCTGAGAACTTATACAGAAAACAAAACAATAAAAGCATTTTTAGGCCCCTCGCAGCTGGATTTCAAATTTTCAGCAACAGTGCATGCATACAAATCTTTGGCAAGTTAATGTACGATCTTTCCCTCCACCCCTATAGTGTACAGGATCTGTTTCCTGAACCTCCTCAGCTCTGATGCTACACTGCTCGTGTTTGTCAGTGCGAGGATGAGTATCTGGCAGCGCTGTGATCCATATCTGCAGTGCAGTCTCTTCTTCTTCAGAAAGCAGTTGTCAGCATAAAGTGGGTCCACAGGGGCCAGAAGCTCTGACCTAGGAGCACGGCTGACGGAGAGGACGCTTCGGGAATCTAAAGGAAGTGAATGCGGCACGGGAGGCCGAGGGGTGAGCGCTGAACATTTCTATGTGCTGAACCCTTTTGTTAAAGCTTTGTTCTTAAGACGAGCTTGATATGCAACAGACCTAAATCCATTCGTTTTATCTCAATGCAGGTGAATCCTGCTTGTTTTATAGAATTGAACATAGGTAGATCTGCAACAACTTCAAGAAGATCAATCATTATACATATGGTAAAAACTCATTCTAATTTGCATGCACAAAGAGCCTATCTGCATTTTATGTCATTTTGGGATGGGTTGAATTTTGCAAAACGCTACACCGTTTGAGCTAGAGACTTACAATTTCAGAAAGAAGTCTCATTTCTCACGGGAAACAAATATGCCTCAAGGACTTGTGTGTTATGAAATCAAAATATTCTCAGTATTTCACATTAGAGGTAAAACCTTTAAAAACGATTTTCTCTTCGTTTGAGACATCATTGAACATTGACATCATCCAACAAACATCATTGTTGGATATATCTTTTATGCACATTTTAAACGGATTTGTTGAGAAAAATATACTCCTTTTATTTTACATGATATTCCAATGCTGTGAATATCATAGGAACTTCACGTTTTCACTTGTCCCACGAACATGTCACCTTTCCATCCACAAGAACCAAACTGCAACTCTATGAGGAACTGATAATAATAACCATTTTCTGAAGGGACGACCACCAGAAAAAGCCTAAAATCACCCACTTGAGTCTTTCTCAATCAGAAGTTTTAATAAAACTGATGCAATACTGAAAGATTATTTTTGATGAAAGTGATGTAATACAGCACGGCTGCTGTGAATGTACAACTCTGATGATTCAAAATAAAGTCTACAAAAGTCTATAAGTACTACAGTCAAGTTGCAAAAGACAAGCTTGATATAGTGAAAAAAGTATTACCTTTGGAAACAGCTTGCAAAATTTGAAAAGATTTGTTGATATTTCACAGATCTAGAAATTAAAACCTGAGACCATCAATGCAACTGTAATATTAAATGTTATTTTAAGAAAATTCCTTGAGTGATTTTTTTCACTGAAATCTTCGATTTCACCAAAAGCCATATACTTTTGCATTTGCATTTTTTTGGTTCTCACGGATGCAATAAAGATATTTTTGAATCGATTTGTTGAGATTTAATGGATCTAGAAATTAAAACCAAAGACTGTCAATGCAACTCTAAAGACTGTAACATTAAAGCTTTAAGAAAACAAATTTAAATGAGTGATACTCCAATTAGAGTCTTTTATTTTACCACAGTCTAAAAAAGAACACAAACAGGATGCCATATACTTTTGCATTTGCATTTTTTGGTTCTCATGGATGCAATAATGATATTTTTAGTCATAATAGTGGTGAAAGTGTTGTGGTTGTCATGCATGTTTTTAAACATGCAAAGTCCATCAATTCTCTGAGCGAAAGGGAAGTAAAACAAAACCCTACTGTACAAAATACTCAAAAATGAAACACTGATAAACTGTTGCACACACTGAAAAAAAAAAACAATAAGTAGATTTACTTAATTTTTATTTTGCAAGTTTTTGCACACATACATTTTAAATAAAATTTAAGTATTGAATTAGGTAAAATCTACTTAACTAAGTTAAGTAAAATTAGCAAAGGAAATAAGTAAATTTCACATGGCCAGCTAGAGTTTGATGAGTAATTTCTACTTAATTATTTTGTTAAATATGAAATGCTCAAGTACATTTCCCTCAGTTACAGTTTATAAAATTTACTCAAACAATGTAGCACTGGAAAACAACCATGCTATTAAAGCATGTGGTTCACTTCCAAACATGTAAGTAAGCAAGTAGACAGCTTGTTATCCTTTGAAGATAATATGTCCACTCAATATAATTATTACCCAAATGAACACAAAGACCTCAATACTTGGTACACCATACACAATGATGGTAACAATCAGTGGACAGTCTTTGAGTATAAATGGGTCATTTTGAGTAGAAAATTAACTCCAGATATCACAAAACAGTAAGTTACTAAACCTTACTGTTTTGAAAAAGTGTAAATACAACTTGAAAACAGTGAAAATGTTAACCTTTTTAATTATTCATGCCTCAGTGCATGATGGGAAAAAACAAGATCATAACTTTGATATTTACTTAAAGAATCCTTCTAAACATAACAAACAATTCCAAGTAAAATATGCTTATAATTTCAAACTTTAATTTCTACAAGCTTAAATTGAGTAGTAATATATAATTTACTTTATTTTTTTAATTCTTGCCTGAACTAAATTATTTAATGTAGAAATTACATTTGTTTTTATGTAGTATTTACTTCACCA